AGGTAAACCATATACATACCTAGTCTAGGCCAAAACCAACACCACTGTCTTAACAGGTACACACACCTCCTCCTTGCATGCACAGAAAGAAATTGCCTGGATATCCTTTCTCTTTAAAAAAAAATCAACTCTTTCCCTCCCAAATCAACTGCTGAGGAACCATTTCAACTGCAGCTTGGATGAAGTTGTATCTAGCTAAATATGCTAGATGGATGCTCCAGTACTCACAGTAATGTCACCAGCAAACACAGCTCCGTGCAGAACAACATGGCTATATTCTATGGGAAAATGTAAAATAAGGTCATTCATACTAGACTCCTTGTTGCTTCAGCTGTAAAAAACGCTGAAATAACTACTGGGGGGTAGTTCCCCCAACCCCCACCAATAGTGTTGTTCATAAATGCTGTAACAGTCTTCTTTTAGGTGATTTTAAAAACCTCCCTGCACCATGATGGGCTGAGAAGCCTAAACCAGTATCTCATCAGTACTGATACAACTTGAACAGAGCAGTCTTGGCTAATCTTTAGTGAGACCCAGATTACTTCAGCCACTTGTCTGTCTTCTGACAAAGGAGGAAGCATGGGAGAAAGAGCAGATATGCAGAGCTGAAGGACACTGTGCAAAGCAGCTTGGCAAGCTTATATGGGACAATCACTGCTCGTTGTACTAGTGCAAGAAGCTCTGGCTTTCTCAGCAGAAACAAGTCCCAGCTACACAGAAGGAGGCACATCCCACCTCCAAACGCCTGGTTCTGCTGCATGGAAGCCACACCATCCCCTTCTTAAACCAAAGCAGCATCTTCCAACAAAAGATGCCAGGGCCAACAGCAGATACAGCTTTGGTTTCTCTTCCCTGCAGCAGCTCCCAAAGGGAAAGGAGGCAAGACAAGCCAAATGCTCCTGCAGAACAGATCCAGCCCAGAGGACACCCCCAATCACCCTATTAACACTTACCCAACTCCTGAACGATGGACTTGGATTGTGCCCAGAACTAGAAAGCCCAGTGAGTGAGGAGCGATTCCTCCTCCTCTTCAATTTGAGCTAGCAGGTTGTTTCTTCAATTTAAGAAGAGAAAATTACTCGGCAAAAGGTATGCTGATTTTAAGGGGACCTTCATTTCAGCAACACAGCTTCCCCCAGGGGCTACGGTAAAACAAGCTCCTGTCTTGAGACAGATCATTCAAATCCTAATGCAGCCTAAGGTGGTCCAGTATAACAGGCAAGGCTGGCACTGATGGCCCAGTTCTGCTTTAGATCATAAGAGATTTCTCTGGAAACCTGTTTGTTTTCATGACCTTCTGCCAGGAGCCATACCCATCTCCCACAGACCCTCCAGGCACACTGCTCCAAGTGTCTACACAGCACTGTGGAGTCAGACATAAGCTAGCCAAAGTTTTCAAAAAGCTGCAGAAGCTTGTTCGCTGGCACTTGATACCCATCTTAGGTCAGGCTGGACACTGAGCTAACACAGCCCCTCCTTTGACTAAATCACTGCAAGCGTAGACATCCACTTTCCATCCGAGAGGCTACAGAAATCTATCCTCACAAGGAGAGCTGGACAAAGCATGTCCTCTTCTCAATACTAATGAGATCTTACTGGCACTTCTTATATTCACAGAAATGAGGAAGCAGGTCTATGGTTGTGATAAGCTTCCACTGAGCTTAAGCTCTGCTCGAAGAATTTTCTGTGAGAGTTAGCTTTTCAACGGTGATTTTATTCACAAAGGAATCAGCTGACATCAGTGGACTGTGGGTGACAGCAAAGTCACTTGGGCTGACAGACACGAAAAAGGGAAGTTTTCATTCAAACTGAGTTACACCTCTAATATAACACAAGCTTTCAGAAAACAAAAAAAACTCTCATGAACACCAAACCTTCTGGCAAGGCATGCAAGTGCTGCCCATCAGAATTTAGTCAGGACTGAGTGTGATGAGAGAGAACAGGCCCAAGTGCCCCTTTATCATCACTACCAAGAACCAGCTTGCAAAGAGAGCAAATCCAAGTTCAGCATTTAGTTTTACCACATGTCTGCAGTGAAACTGTGGCTTGATGGGCACAATCCTCCTGTCTCAGTAAGCTGCGTATGATCTGGTGATCTCAGTGCATTAACTAGCCCTGATGACATATTTCAGCCTTGTGAAATAAAGCAGCAAGAGGAGACAGCGAAGGCCAAACTAATACTGTGAATATTCACCATAAACAGTGCAGAGCTAGCACCATCTTTCTCTGAACTTTGCTACACTTTACCCTCAGTTCTGAGGGCTTTTCCCAGCACCCTTGAGGATATGAACATGTCAATTTTAAAGGGAAATTATGGAGAGGAAAGTCTGGCTGGACACACTAGGACTGCAGTCTGACTCAGGCACTATCTTGGGCCAGGAGATATTCTGCCTAAAGATGCAGAATGAGCATCCTGGATTGATGCAGGCACAGCTGAATTAAGTTCCCAAGACAGGTACTAATTCCTGCAAACTCACAGCCTCTCTAAGGGGTGCTTGCAGCACCTCAAGGTGGTAGAAGGCAGTGATTAAGGGTGTATCAACCCTACCTCAGAGTTTCTGGCTTCTCTTGAGAAATCTAATGTTGATGAACAAACAAGTTGCCATCTGAATGTTTCAAACCTGAGCCAGCCTACTACTAGCTAAAACTAGCTCACAGCAGTGGTCCAGTGCTAGGAAAAAAAAAAAAAAAAAAAAGAAATCTAATTTTTACAGGAAATTCCATACAAACAGCATACATGAGAGAACAAGAGCTACTCCAGATTGACAGACGGACAGGAACAAAAACCTTACCACAGTTCCTTCATAGTTTGAGTGGCCCATCACACCTGAAGCACCAACAAAGGAGGAGAAGAGAGCAAAATTTAACAGCATCTTTTGTTCAAAATCACTGCTCTTTTGAGATGTTTCCTGTCAACATGGTACCAGAGTAGCACATTGCTTCTTACTTAAAATATCCAAACGCTGCACCTCTCATTTTGCTTGGGAAAAATTAGTCAGCCAGGTGTCGTCTTTTTCCTCTGCACATATTTAGTCACTTCTCAATCGCATGTGAGCCTGCTCTCTTTACTGCAGCCAACTTCTCTGCAGGAAATTCTTAATCAAGAGCATCTCTTGATAAAGGGGAACCTGAAGTCCATGGAGTCCCAAACACTTTATCTGCACACTCCAATTTCCATTTGGACTTTAGCAAACTTCCTCAGAGTCTCTGTACATCCACTCTACAGTCTCTATACGGCCACTCAGCTGCTCAGTGAGGTGATTCTCACCCACTTACCATGGGGGAATCCACAGCAGAAGCAGCAGGCTCTACCACTGTGAAGGTGCCTCTGATTGTGGCATCATCGCCCTTATCCTAAAACTGACTGCTTATAGTTGGCCAAACGAATCTTGCCTTTCAACTTCACTTTCTACAGGATTTACCACCAGACTTGCAAGCACAGCCATGAGAATAAACACCCTGTACCACCAAGGCAGCCTCAGCAGTCAGTAGTGGCAGTATACTATCACCTTACTTTCCCTCCACCCTGCTCCAGTTACCTTTGCCGACAAAGTTTTGCTTTCTTGCCCCATTCTCTGTGTTCCCAGCACAGTCCTTGTTGGCAGTTACTTTTTAAAGTTTTGCCTCAAAATTCATCATGGGTCAGCAGAGACCCATCTGCTACAACAGAGGTTTCACCCTGAAACAGAGAGAGGAAGGAAGAACAAGACACAACAATACAATTCGACTTGATCTCATCCACTTCTAGGCTCCCACTGGGTGAACAAGCGCTCCCATGTTACTGGTATGGCAGCGCCGAGGCATGCAGCAAGCCGAGCATTCGGCATGCAATTTTGTTCTTGGCAACCACAGACAACCTTGCTGTTTTGGCCGCAGCCCTCTACTACTGTATTTTTGAGCTCTAGAGAAATGAGAGCCTTTTCACAGTGAATTCAAGTTTCGTGACAGCTGTCTTATTTTAGTCACCTCTTTTAAAACCTGTTGGAAGTAACCCACCAAGGTTGCGAGCTACCAGCCAAAAGTCACTTCAGAAAGTTCAGGGAGTAAGTGAAAGTTTTATTAGAACTGGTTTGGAATAAAATATAAATATATATGTGGAACAACGTCAGGGCTACATTTGCTACCGTCCAGCAAGATTAGAGCAATAACGAAAGATAAATACATTCAAAAGCAACCACTTTTTTAGCCGACAATCCCACGCAGCCTCCCATTTCACATTCTCATCTAAGTACCACCTGCCGGGCACAGAAACCGCTGGCGAAGCAGCAGAAGCCACTGTGCTACGTGGGGATGGAGCAGAGGAAGCATCGCAGCTCCCCTCCTTTTCGGGGGATTCCTGATGTACCATAAACTTTTACCTTTTTTTTGAGTTAGATACAAGCAAAGTAGCACTGGGTGTTATCGTGTATTAAGGGTCGCGGGTTGTTGTTTTGTTTTTTTTTTTTTTGTTGAAGGCTTGGAGGGCAGAACCGGGAGGCTACAAAACGTGGTACAAGTGACTACAGCAACCTCCTCCCCGACAAACGGCACCGCTCCTCCACACGCGGCCCCCTACGCTGCCGAAAAAAAAGACTGAAAAGTAAGAAAAAAGGTCGCGGGCGGGAGGCGCGGCAGCCCAGGACCGGGGGCGAGGGGGCTCCCTCTCCGCAGGACGCCGTGCGAGCCCCCGCCGGGCCCGTCCCCGCGGCTCACACCGAGCGGGCCCCCCGGGGGCCGGCCGAGCCCCCCCTCGGGCCCGGCCGCCCGGCCCGCGGCCCCCTCCCCGCGGCGCGGCCGGCGAACGGCGCGGGGAGGCCGCGGGGCGGCGGGCGGGCCGCGGGGGGGGCCCGGGGGGGCGGCGGGCGGGCCCCGAGCCGCGGCGGCCGCAGGGCGGAGGCGGGAAGGTGCGGGGCGGGGGCGCGGCCGCCCTCGGGGGGCTCTGCGCGGGGAGACGCGGGGATCAGGGCGCGGGGGGACGCGGGGACCCGGGCCCGCCGCCGCCACCCCTGCGCACTGCCTACCTCGGGCGTCGGCGGGCAGCGGCCCCGGGGCGGCGGCAGGCCCGCCCTCGGGTCCCGGCGGCAGCCGCTGCCCGGCGCACATGGACTTGAGCACCTGGAAGACGGCGAGCGGCGCCACGTTCATGCGCAGCAGGTCCAGCAGCACCCTGCGGGAACACCCGTCAGCGGCGGAACCGGCGCCAGTGGCGCCGCCCGCCCGCCGCCGCCGCCGCTCACCGGAACACCTCCGGGTCCAGCCCGCTACCCGCCGCCTGCGCCAGCTCGAACAACTCCGCCTCCTCCGCGCTCAGGAACTGCTTCCGCCTCAGCCGCGCCTCCGCCATCGCCGCCGCCGCCGCCATCCCCGCCGCTGCCGCCGCCTCCGACATGGCGGCGTCTCGCGCCCCGCCCCCTCACGGCCTGGCCCTGGCCCCGGCCCCGGGCGCGGCAGGCCCGGCCCCGGACAGGCCCCGGCTCCTCCCGCCCGGCCCGACTCCTCCCCGCCCGGCCCCGGCTCCTCCCGGCCCCGGCTCCTCCCGCCCGCCCGGCCCGACTCCTCCCCGGCCCCGGCTCCTCCCCGCCCGGCCCCGGCTCCTCCCCGCCCGGCCCCGGCTCCTCCCGCCCGCCCGGCCCCGGCTCCTCCCGGCCCCGGCTCCTCCCCGCCCGGCCCCGGCTCCTCCCGCCCGCCCGGCCCCGGCTCCTCCCCGCCCGGCCCCGGCTCCTCCCGCCCGCCAGGTCCCGGTTCCTCCCCGCCCGGCCCCGGCTCCTCCCGGCCCCGGCTCCTCCCGCCCGCCCGGCCCCGGCTCCTCCCGACCCCGGCTCCTCCCGCCCGCCCGGCCCCGGCAGGTGGCAGCCGCGCTCCAGCCCCAGCCGGCCCGCCGGTGCTCGGCGGGAACCCCGGGCCTCTTCCCCTCCTCCCGCTCCCCGGAGGGCTCCGCTGCTCCCTCAGACCCGTAAAGCAGCCACTCATGGGGACTTCTGGGCGTCTTCCCCAGGTTGCCCTTCCCGTTCATTGCGGGCTGCCGGCCTGTGTGTACGTGCTCCAACCTCACCCGCCTTCTGCTCTGGGACGTGACCTCAGCTCTCCGAGGAGGCCTCCCTTACCTCTGGCTTTAGTTAAGTCAACCTCCTTTCTCAAAGTAGACGCTTGTCCCCGGTCCTCCAAACTTGGAGCCTTTGGTCATCGCCCACGAGGCGGTAGCTCCCGCACCAACCCTCTCCACCTTCTTTTCCACAAGCTGTCAGATACTTAGCTGAGCAAAACTGCAGTGTTTCTTTATTCCCACAGGAAGAGACGTGCTGAGAACGTGGTGGAGGAAACCAGGTTGAGGATCACGAGCTTCCCTGTACCCTCCTATCTGCGGGCAGGTGAACATGTACTCAATGTGGGCCACAAATAAGGATACCCTCACACCCTTGCTGGATTTCTTCTAGCATTTTCCCTGCTGGAAGACAGAAAAAGCTGGTTTTCCTCATCGCCATGGTCATCTGAGTGAGGACTTCTTGTGTGACCACCCTCTGCCCTCAAGCAATCCAGATCCTGTGTCACAGGGGCAAATGCTGGATGCTGATGTGAATCTCCTGTTCCTGGACCGGGGCAGGGAAGGGGAGCTAGTGAGAGGCAATGGGAGCACTCTGAGGTGCATGCAGTGCAGCAGATCTGCGTGTGGAGAAGCCGTATGTGCCAGCTGCCTTGTAGAGCTACACACAGATAATCACCCACGTTCACACACCCAACTGTCCTCCTCTGCCGAGCTGCAGCATCTCTAATGCACTTCAGTTCCCAAGCCAGTGATGAGCATCTGGTGTTGTGTGGGAAAGAAAATTGGAAATTAGCGTCTTGAGTCACGTGGCAAGGAGACGTCAAGCCGGGATTGAAATTCCTCCATCTAAATGGAAATGAGCAGCACCTCAGAGATCGACTGTCCCCACTCCCCCCGTCCCAGCACACGGAGACCACAGACAGACCTGTTGAACGGATAGCAGAGTGGGGGGGATATGATGCAGGGACGTTCCCCCCGGCACCACCGCAAGAGACCCTGTCCTGTGACATCAAGCCACAGGAGAGAGATGCTGCCACTCCACACCCTGAGCAACCTGCCAGCCTGTCAAAATCATCACCCACCACAGGGTGACCCAACTTTGCATCCTGGTGGGCATTTGGCCTTGCTAACAGACAGACATTTACTGCAGCTGCCAAGAGGGGAATGAGATGTACAATGACAAAACGAGGATCTTGCTGATAATGGCCCTGCGAGGGACCAGCACAGCAGGGACAATTATTGTGGTGCTTACAGCGGGAGCAGCTGCTGCCAGCATGAATTACCATGCTGTCTGTAGGGCAGACAATGCTAAGGCCACAAAGCCTGAGGTCACCCTGAATGATGGACTCTCGGAGGGACCCTCAGCTGAGCTGGGCAGTGCGGGGTCTGAGATGCAGAGGGGACTGGGCAACCTCCCTGCACTTGCTCTCTTGCCTGCTCTGGTATATGACATGCTGCTTCCTTTGGGACTGGCTGAAAGTCAAATGCAAGGGTAAGAGCCCTCACCAAGTGGGTGATGCACTCTCCAGACATTCCTGGTCCCAACTGGACCACTTCCCCCAGCCCATGGCATCTGGGAGCTCAGCTACAAGTCACAGCAGAAGAGGGAAAGATGCTCTTTATCTCAGACAAGAAAACCATGAACACCTTCCTTACAAGAAACTGAAGAAGTCTCAGCTTGTACCTCCTTCTTCCCAGCCCCAGCCAGCTCCAGCTGGCAGGTGTCCCTGCATGCCCTGATCACCAGCATCACAAACAGGGCTGGAGATCTTCCCAGGCCAATGGATGGGAGACCCTGCCTCTCCCGTGCTTCCTTCACAGACCGCCACAGAACGTGGAGGTGGGTCACGCCTTCCTCGCCTTTCTTCATGTAGGCCTGGACGGGCACATTCTGCAACTTCTTCGAGTAATAATACTCTCCTCTGGACTGCACGGTCCCTTCTGCCCTCTGAAGCATTTCTGGCATCTCTGACACCCCAGGTTTCCCCTTTTGCTTTCTCGAGCCAACAGGTCAGTAGAGGAAGTCACTGGGATCCCATAAGCATCCCCTGAGAAGACCTCAATTACTAGAGCTGCAATGTGGGTAGCACCTGGGACTCTGGCTTAAATGACTGGGTCCTGCTGCCCGCCAGAAACACCCTCCATTACCACTGGCAGGACTTTCACACTTAGGCACCTCACAGCCCACAGATTCCAGAGCAGCACGTGAGCCAGGACAAGCCAGGTGCATCTCAGCCCTTGTAAGACACGGTTACAATAGGGGCTGAGCACATGGGGGGGCAGAGGAGGCTCAGACAGCCTGCATGTGCAGAAGGAAAAGGGAATTAGGTAGGTGCAGCACAGAGCCTGCAATCTCTACCATAAATTAGCAGCTAGAGTTGTGGGGTTGTTCAGACGTCACGACACAATGTTAGTGCCTTGCACGCAAGCAGAAAGCACCGCTGCCGTGTGCCTGTCCAGGACCAGAAAGACACCTGCATGGGAAAGCAGCAAATGCACATGCAATAAATTAGGATGGTCTGAGCACACGGGGGCTGCACCACACCGCATGGATTGCCCACCCGTTGCACACGCAGTAAATCCAAGACTGCTGCATGCACAAGGGGCAAATGAGGCAGACTTGGAGAGGGGCAGTGGCATGTGTGAGCAGTGACTCAAGGTGCTCTACACAGAGGCAGAGAGATGCAAGAGCCTTCCCTGTAAATCAGGGCACTCTGTGAACGGTCAGAGAGACACACGAAAACCAGACGTGCTGTGAATTTGCAGAGAGGGAACTTAATGCGTGCAGTAAATCATGCTGTGCATGCGCAGAGAGGCTGTAATGCTGCATATAGGCAGTAAATCACAGCTCACTGAACATGCGCAGCAAGGCTACCCCATAGGGGAACAGTGGGAGAAGACACACATGTGCAGAGAGCCTGTCAGTCCCACACAGGCACCGATCAGGACTTGCTATGTGCTGCCATTTAATGGAGAAGATGCATACATTTATCCTGGAAATTAAGAGCAAGACTTGTAGCTGCACAGGTCATCAAGCTGAGCAAGGTGTGAAGGACAGCAAATACCTGAGGCATGACCACCAGCTGAGGATACACTTTGGATGCATGAGATGAGGGTCAACTAGGAGGTGCTGCATAAAATCGGGAAGGAAAAAAGCAAGGTCACGTCACTGTGGAGGAAGGACCAGATTTAGAATAACCTGGATATGGCTCAAATAGCAAAGGCAGCAAATGTGCCTCCCACATCCAGAAAAGGGAAAGGAGGGATTAAAACTTACCTAGACTTTCATACCTTTCCGAGGTTTTTTTTGGAGGAAACCCAGATTCAAGATATGAAGGCAAATGGAAACAAAATTTATCACAGATACATTGCCTCAGTGTAATGTAATGATTTTTCTTTCATAATTAATTTCAACAAGGCAATGCAGTGCATTTAGACTGGTTAGATTTAAGGAAAGGGTTTGATTCACACACTGTATAAACCAGTTTCCAATGCTGGAAGTCATGGGTATGGATATAGCAGAGGAGGAACCAGCTCATCAAGTAAATGATGGGTTGTATTAAAAGGGGTGTCTCTGAGCAAAGAGGTGCTTCCAGCATGATTCCTCCACTGTAGTCTTGAAATGACCCTGCTGATGTTAATACCTCTGCAGGGCTGGGAGCGTGGAGTCGTCATGCCTGGGACGTGTTTTTGGGAGGGACACAGCCACATCACTAGCTAGGCACTGGGAAGATCTCACCTGGAAGATCTGCCCAAGCATGCTGCTTTGGAGCCAGGCCTCCAAAATTGTGCAAGGAAAAGGAGAGAACTGCCCACGAGGGTAGACTGAAAATTAGGTGGAGGCATCCCAGCATGGACGTTTCGGGACAATTTTCAAACAGGGTACCAGGAGCAAGTAACTGGTTTGAGACAGTGCTGGGGCAGTCTGAGTTAGGAGCTGAAACTTGCCCCTTGTGTCAGACATGTTCTCTATGATATGAAAAAAGGCATTCAGCTGGGCCATGTGTGTGCCACATGCATGTGTGGTGCTATGGATGTGCTACTCTGCACGTTTTGCTGGTAGCCTGCAGGGATCAGAAACAAATTTCTCTCCTTTGATATAAACTTTGGCAGCTGAGCTGTTGGGTTATTTGATCCTTCTGCAGATTGCTGTGGTTCAAGACAGAATACAGGGCACTGTGTTTTCTGGGATATTCAAGCAACTTAGGCATCACTGCTAGGGCTGGGGTTTTAAACTAATCACTAGGCTTGGGTTTAAGGGAACTTTTCCAGGCCAGAGGGGCAGGAAGGGGACATGGATGATGGATCACACCCTGCGCACATCTGAGGGTTCCACCCAGTCCTGCAAGGATCAGAATTATGGGTGATGCTCTCCAGCCTCTGAGGTGTTCAGGAGCCTTGCTGGCTTGTGCTGGGGCGGGTGGTGAGGCTGACGTCAAGCTTGACACTAACCAAAGTGCTCCATTTCCAGCAGGTGGGAGACGCTAGGGACTGTGACGGAGTTTCCGCAAACACACCCCAGCTTCCAAGGAGGGCAAGCTCAAATTCTGCCCTGAATCAGCCTTTCACCCCTCTTGGTTGCCTTTCTCCTGCAAGACTACATCCTTTGGCTAGTGAAGTCCTGTGCAGGAATAAGCGCAGCCCCAAGCTGGCCCACAACCAGACAGAGCGGTGCGGGGCTTGGGGGCCATGCCAGCTCAGCCCTGACCACCGTGCAAGAGCGTGTTCCCAGCAGTGCTAATCCAATTACAAAACAAACTTCCTTCCTTCATTATCAGGGCCTGCAGCATGCTAAAACAGCTCAGCGATTATGGAGGGTTTAAGCAAGGGACTAGAGATCAGGAGATGAATGACAGAGCTGTTTCACTTGCAGTGAGGAGGGACAGAGAACAGAGGCAGCTGGGAAGACATGGGGGATTGCCGGGACAAGCGGATTGGGAATTGCTACAGACAAAGGCCTCTGGTCAGCCTTCGTGCTTCCAACAGGGTTAACCTCAAAGTACACCAGGTTGCTCAGGCCCTTGTCCATTCTGGGGATTAGCATCCTCATGAATGGGGATTTGCCCATCACCCCTCTATCCCTGTTGCATGACTGTGCCCACCCGCCCCATTCCCAAACAACACTTGCTTCAGCCAAGGGATGGCAAACATAGCACTAAAATACCCTTGCAAGAGAGATTCAATTCAAATTTTCTGAGGAGCTCCTGATCAGCTCCCATCACAGACAGAGAATGCAACGCACCAGCCAGACCCAGAGTCATACACTTGAGACCCCCTGGGTCCAAACAGGACCCAGGACCTGCTTGGATCTGCCCCATTTGGGAAGAGCTGGTCCCTTCCCTGACCCAATGTCAAGCTGTGGGCTGGGCTGGCTCTTTGCAATGGCTCTGCATCCTGCACCCTGCTCCTACATCCTTCTTGCTGGAGCTTCTCCGTAGTGAGGGCCCACGTGGAGCTGGAGGCTTGACTGGCCTGGAGGCATTGCCCTCAGGTTGCAGTGAATTTGCAGTCCTCTAACCCTGGTGCCCAGCCTCTCCTGGTAATGCTGTGCTTTATCCCTTGTGTACAGCCTCTCCTGGTAATGCTATGAAGAGCAGAAAAAAACAAACCTAGCTGGGCTTCAGGAAGTTCTGCTTCTCTCCAAAAAAAACCCTTCTTGACTCTGATCATTGCTGACAGTGCTTGGAGCAGGAGGGTGGACAACAGACCTCCTGAGGTCCCTTCCAGCCCAAGTTGTCATACGAGTGTAGCCAGGTCATAGGAAGTGGTTATTTCCCTTTATTTGGTGAGGCCACAACTGGATACTGTGTCCAGTTTTGGATCCCAAGTACAAAGAGAGTCCTGCAGAGGGTCACTAGGATGGTCAGGGCCAAACAACATGTTGTACGAGGAGATGCTTGAGGAGTTGGGCTTCTTTAGCCTGGAGAAGAGTGGGCTGAGGAGGGATGTAATCGCCACAGGGAGGATTGAGAGCTTAGCTGAAGCACTTGGACACAAAGCCCAGCTCCAGAGCAGTCCCGCTGGTCTGTGACTATTTCTGGGGAGCTGGTGCAACGCACACAGGTCTCACACCCCTTGGTGCTCAGCAGGGATGCCCCTGAGATGGAGCCAGGCTGCTTGGGCATGACTTCACCATAAGGCTGCGAGCTTGCTGATACAGCCAGCGCTGGCTGCCAGGCAGTTTGCTCCCTGCCACAGTTTCGTCAGAAAATGAAACACAATACATGGGGAGGCTCTCCTGTGCCTTTGTTCCGCAGCTGCACAGACCCAAGAAGCTTCTGCTTTCCCAGCCATGGCCACAAAGAAGGCAGAGTATCTCCGGGGATAAGCTCTGCACTGGAGCCATCAGGGCACAGCAGGGCTGCTAAGGGCCCTTGAAACCTTTTCAATGCAGCAAGGGCATCCAAGAGCATCTCCACAGATTTCTGCACCTCCAGCCCTTTCTGCAGGCTCTGGTGTGGCACTGCCGGGAGAAAAACCCGCCAGCTGGAGCTGCCTCCATCCCCGCTGGACAAGATGCCTCCCTGGGATGGAGAGAGGCAGCTGAAGAGCTGCCAGCAACCAAGCAGGACTGTAAGGAGACACCAGGCGCCCGACGAGCTGAAACCACTGCCTTTTAAGGAGTGGCAGAGGCTGAGGCATCCTGGAACAAACCATCGCAGTTTCTGCAGGCTCCCAACCGCGGCATGCACTCAGGGACCACACTGGCTGTGCCCAAGGGTCCCCACAGCAGCTCAGAGCCGTGATGAGCAGCCAGGAGAGCGATCCCCCAGCTACAGATCGAGCCTGGAAAACCCCAGAGCCCCGGATGGCAGAGCAGGATTCCTGCTGTGGCTGCGGCGCTCAACCCACGCAAGGTCCCCACGGTCCTATCAATCACCTCTGTCCCCCGCTGCAAACCAGCAGGACCGGCTCCTTCCTGGGAGCAGGTGGTGGGGAGGATGATGCTTTTTCACAAAGCCTTCATCAAGCCACCGCTACCACATCTCACCAATGCCCCAAACGCTTTGCTCCGCTTGATGCAAAAGGTTTTGCCGGTCCAGCAGCCAATTTGCTGCTGCCAGCCCCTCTGCTGAGCACAGTGGGACCACCCAGGGAAGGGAAAGGGAACACGCTGCAGGGGAGTAACAGCAAGACTGAGCTTAATCTGAAGCATGGATGGAGGAAACGTGTATGTTTGTACAGCAGCAACACCGGGAACAAGGTTAGAAGGCAAGGTAGGCATTAAATGCTACAGAGCAGCAGATCTAGCTTCAGCCAAATTAAGAAAAGGAGCAAGCTGGCCCAAAGACAAGGTGTCAGGAAGCTGAAGAACAGGACAGGAGCTAGTAAATACCCAGAGGAGAACAGAAGATCTGTGAAATTCAGGGATTTTGCCTAAGACACAGGAGGGATGAAGGAAAACAAGGAGGCAAAAGATCCCAAAGAGCACCCTCTTCTACAGGGAATAACAGCCAAGTCCAAAATCAGCTCATTGCTGCCCGTGAAGGGTCCCAAAGACACAGCAAGCACATGACCACCGGTGTCCCTTGTCCCCTCCGTCTCAGACGAGCGAGCTGGCTGGACCGCTCAGGCGCACTGGTCTCAGCACACGCAAGAGCAAAGGAAAAACTAATTTGCTTAGAGCTTTTCTATAATAAGATCCCCCTCCCCGCCCTTTCGCCACACCAATCCCCCACTCGAGGTGGTGGGATGCGGGTACACGGCCCCCGTGGAGCAGGAGGAGACCATGCACCGCTTTATTAGGCAGTGGTGCTGCACGTGCAGCCGAGACCGGTCACTATTTACATTTGGCAAAGGATGGCGACAAGTACTGAGCACCCGTGCAGATGGGGGCCACCGCCGGCCTGCCTAGCCCTCCCCGCATGCCTCGCTAGCCCCGGGCAGGCCCCCGCTTGTGCCCTGCCAGCCCTCTCGCCCGTGGGCACAGCCGTTTTGTCTCCTGTGGGCAGAGCCAGGCACCCTTGTGGAGGCACCTCAGGCCTGCTACTGGTTGATTTCTCCCCTTTTTCCCTGCACATCGCCCCCCTCCCCGGCCTCTCCAAGGCCCCGGTTCCAGTCCTCGCGTCCCAAGCTCTGCCCAGAGGCAGGCGAGGGCAGGGGGCAGCCGGCGAGCCCCGCTCAGCTCCTTGCGCAGGGCTGGGGGGGGTCCCCCCGGCACCATCCCAGTGGGCAAACCAGTGCGCAGGAGCCCCCCCCCCCGAGAGAGGGGGACGAGGGGTCCAGCTGCAGCAATCCCCAACAGCGCCGGCCATGCCCAGCGAGCTGCTCGTGGGCTGCTGGTCCGGAGCCCGTCCTCAGCACGGCGGCCCTGCGGACGGGCCAGTTTCGGGTGCACCCGGCCTCGAGCCTGGCTTGTGGTGGGTGAGTACTATAGGGTACGGATAGCCACCGGGTAAAGCAAAGACATGTGCTCAGCCCCCTTGATGGGCAGCTTGCGGCTGGCGTAGTGATGAATGATCTCTGGCACGCTGTCGAAGGGCGGGCTGTGCTGACCCAGCACGTACTTGTTCTCTTGGGTCCGGGACAGTTTCATGTGCATGAAGCCCTGGCTGCTCCTGCAAGGAGAGATGGAGGCAAGGGTTAGGGGGTGCAGCTGGCCCAAGCCTCCCATCAGCTCCTGACCTTGCCAAGACAGGCAGCTTGCCCCTGCAGTTGGGAGGGGGACGCTGCTGACTCCCCTCTGCCACGGCCCTGCCCGCACCCTCCTGCTCTTGGCCCACTCCAGATGAAATTCAGGGCACAAGGGAGGGATGCGGCTGGCCGGGCGGCACTGTACGCCCCCTGGGGAGCACAGCCACGCAGTGGGGTGCGAGGTGTCCGTCCCCTCCATAGGTGTATGCACGCAGGGAAGCAACGGCACAGCCTCGGCAGGAGCAGTGGGGGCTCTTGCCGCAGGGGCAGCGGCTTTCGCCCCTTGCACGTGGCAAAGCCCCTTTTGCAACCGCCCCAGCTCACAGGGGAGGGACTTCAGCTCGCGTATCTCCAGCCTCACCGTGGCAAAGCAAGATTTTTCTCCTTCGGCCTGCAGCACTTTACCTTCCCCCCCCCCCCCGCCCCCAACACTGCGGGCTCCATAAAACCCACTCTGCATAGCGAGGCCATTTCCCGGCACAGCACAGGCACTGAGCCACGCGAGGCTGCAAAGGCAGATCCTGCCACGAGCGCTGAATCCAAGCGACGGGCTAATGGCCCTGTTGCTATTAATTTGCGTCTCTGAGGAGAGCCACAGCCTGTCTGCAGCATCTGGAATGCACATTACGGCAAAATATTGATGACTTAAAAGCAGACAGGACCTCATCAGCAATGCCGAGCCACTTACAGCGCTCCGCAGGCCAGTCCCATCCCCCCGGCTGGAGACGGTGCCCGTAATGGACAGCCCAGCTGCATTAGCAGAATGGGTTTGCAATCCATTTAGTGCTGAGAGGCAAGGAGCCAGCCGCCCCGGGGGAGGGCACAGGGGAGAGCCACAGCCCTCCCTCCCCAGGGCCACGGAAAAGCCATAGCTGCCCGCATGCTGCGTCCCAGCGGCAGGGCGCAGGGAAGTGCTGCAGGGGCTGCACCGTGAGCAGCACCCCACCGAGGTGCACGGGCTTATCCTGCACACGGTTGCGCCACTAACACGCAGGGCTGCCTGCTGGTGCTGCCCCCGGCGCCGCACCGTGTCTGCAGACAGACCCAGCCCTTGCCTGGTGCCGGCGAGATGCGCAAGAGCCCAGTGCAGGATCAGTGCCAGTCCGGAGCTGAACCGCTGTCCACGGAGAGGGGATGCTGCTTGTGTTTTGCCCAGATCACTCCACGGGTCTTTGTCACGAGCTAAAGGTCATGACTGAGACGAGACCCCCGGCGAGATGCCCGAGGGATCACGTTGCAAACCCGACACCCTCCCAGCCAGCAGCAGGGATGGGAGGAGGACAAGGGGCAGGTGTTGCTCCTTACAGACACGGGGAAGGATGCCAACCTCTGCAGCATGGCCTCAGCCACTCTCACGGCAGTGTGAGCCAGGGCAGGATTCATTCTCTGAGAGTTTGAGGCAATGACACTACGACCCTGTCCATGACACATGATGGGCAACGTGGGGCTGCCTAGCCCGGAAAGTCATGGCAGGGTTAAGTCCTCCCGGCTACCTGACACGCTGCTATGGGTAAAGCTGCTCCTGCTGCTCTCTCTTGTGCATATTTTCCTTTAAAGCAGCACAAAACAGCTTTAGGTCAGGACCAGAGCTCTCTTTCAGACCATCTCCTTAGCTTCATCTCCTTCCTCAAGGAAAAAAAAAAAAAAAAAAAAGAGTTTTTTTAAAAAAAAAAAAAAAAAAAAAAAAAAAAAAAGAGACACACAGCCAGCCAGTTTACAGCTATATAAAAAGTATCCCAGGGGACTCTCCTTGAAAAGGCTCTACAGAGAAAGGCAATGGAGTAAAAACCCTGAGGCTGCAGGCTCTGTGCAAGCAGAGCCAGTGGACAGACAATGCCCGAGCAGCTCCTGGATGGGCTGCAGTCTCCTCTGGGGAGGTGACATGCCACTGCAAGGCCACATCCTAGCCAAGCATGCTGTCTGAGAAGAGGATTTGGCCATTTTTGCCATGAGGCTAAGGATGGGCAGTAAGAAGTATGGAAAAAAAAAACCAAAGAAACAGGTGACTGGCTTTTAGAGAGCTGATGAAAAGGGGCACCTGCACTGGCAAGGAAGGAATCCTCAACAACCACCCCAATACCACCTCCCAGGCTCTCCAGCGCACATGCTGGCTAATGCCACCCACAAGACGATGGCTGAGAGGACCTCTCACAGTCTCAAATACGACTCGCCACCCAGCAGAAGCTGTTGCTTCAAAATTGCTCGCAAGCCAAGGCAAGGAAAAAATAGTAAGAAAATTAAAACATCAGTAAAAATTCTGACCAAAAAAAGGAAAGGAAGGAGCTTTTCAAGAAAGACTCGTTGTCTGATCCAAAAGCTACAAGTGCATAAGGAAAGAATATTTTCAGCTAAACTTCTGCCCTGGTCTGGTGCTGAAGGCACCAAAAAAAGTGGAAAAAAAAAAAAAAAAAAAGGTAGAGAGAGACAGAGGAATTTAATTCACAACTGTGTCACTGGGAAAGAAACGGGAGGGGCTGAAACCACCAGGGAGCAATGCAGGTACAGAGACCACTGGGGAAACTTAAAGTATATTGAGAAAAGCATAGGGATACGGCCTGCTGTTGGGCAGAGACAACTGAAGTGTTCGATAAATACTTTTTTCACATCTGTCAGGAACAGAGCTAATATAATCGTCCAGCAGAAGGGCGGGAAGGTATTTTCTAATCCATCGTTATCTTCAGAACAGTAACAGCTTTGATTTTGTGGGTTCAGGCTGCCCCAAAAGTCACAAAAGAGCTGGATGAGGAGCTATGGGCAGCTCCTCCCGGCAGGACACGTGCAGCGATGCTTCATGCAGTTCTAGCACTCAGGGAATCTGGAAAGCTTGGGGAGCGTGCAAAGATCACCCCCCAAAAAAACAAGCAGAAACCAAGCTGTGCTGTGGGGGTGAGGCCTCCCTGCGGGGAAACCAAAGCAGGGTAATGCCCTCTATACGGTGTGGCTGAGCAACGGCTTCCATGATTATGTGGGCTGGGGAGGCAGGGATGGATACTCGTGTTTCCATCAACAATGGTATCGCACAAACTTCCTTTTCCCATGAAACTAGGCTACAAAAAAAGGGGTAACAAGAAGTCAGAGCTGGAAGCTGTAACCAGCCACATTCAAGTGAGCAGTGAGACACATCATTTTATCCATATGAGGGATTACTAGCACTGAGAAGGGCAGAGCAGCATGCCTCCAGATCTGCAAGCCTTCCTGAGAGATACTTTTGCCAGACACCAAACCAGAAGCCCGTGCCACACCGCAGAGAAGTGCAGGCTTCGTACTCCAGCCATTTCTGACCGCCCCGTGGTCAGTCACCCCACCGTCACGCATTCACACGGGGCACCCACGGCACAGGGCCACCTCTGCTGCAGGTCCACCGTCCCCCCAGCCCCACCTGAGCTCAACTCACTTCAAGGAGAGGGAGAAGTCGTTCTTGCTGGTCTCGCTGTTGCGCACCAAGTAGCTGGCCTCCTTGCACAGCCTCAGCAGCGTCTCCGCGTCTGTCCGGCTGATGGCCCCGTGGTACCAGCTGGAGGTGGGAGAGGAGCCGGCTGTGCCAGGCAGAGCGCAGGCACCCCGGGGAAGGGCTCTGCCCCGGGGCAGCGGCAATGCCAGCACCCCACCCCACCCCCCCGTACCTCCCTGGGGACAGCAGCAGTGTTCAGGGGGAGAGACGTGGGTGGCACCACCAGGGTTGGGGGACAAGGGGCAGGGCTCCCACTGGGCAGCTCAGGGGGCACACGGGGACCCCACAGCTGCGAGACGGGCGGCAGGGGCGAGCGGGCAGAAATGCGGGGCCGGGGAAGAAAGGGAGAGAAGCGAGCCTGGCCTGGGGCTGCTTGTGGTGTGGCCACGGGGATCCCAGAGCAGGCAGAGGGGCCGGGCAGCCGGCCAGGGCAGGCAGCACTCACCACTGGCTCTCCAGAGGCAGGGCAGGGTCAATCCTCTCCCCGACAAAGGGGCCAGACTCGGCGATCAGCATCTTCGTGCTCTTGAGGCTGGTGGAGCCATGCCTGAGGGCAGCCCTGGCCTTCTCCTCCCTGCAGGGCGAGGTGCGGCCGTACCCCAGCCCCTCTGATGGACCTGCAAGACAGACAGGCATCACAGCCAGAGGCGGGGACAGGCAGACAGGCTGGGCTCCCAACTTTACCCCCACGGTGGGAGCCCACAGAAAAAGCCAGAGCCACGTCACATCATGCTGGGTCACCTCACACTTCCCCGTTCCCTTGCTCTAAGCAAGGGCAGGGCAGCTCTTGGGCTGCTGCTCACTGCAGTGCCCCACGATAGACAAGGCTGGGTCCCTACCACATCAGGACTGGGGTCCTCACAGCACCTGAGCCCCTGGAAATATCTTCCAGGGAGACTTCAAGAGCTCAGGGAGGTTTTGCTAATGCAACCAGATCAGAGATTCAGTGGTTGTGGCACAGAGCGAAGTGAAAAGAGGTAAGGAGAGGTTCTCCAATCTTGACAAAAAAAACTTAAATTACAAAAAAGAGGAGGGGGCAGATGGAGCTAAAGGGAGCAGTCAGTTTGGAAACGACGGACACATTTCTGCTGGCACAGGTAAACCTCCAGGGGGGTGAAAAAAACGATTCCTCGAGGTGGGAAGGGTACATTTGGAGTGTGAGGGGCCTCCCCAGGGCAGCCGCCTGCCCAGCACCAGCCCAGCAACGGGCCCCCATGCACCGGCAAGGCACGGCAGCCCGGTGCTTGTTGCCAGGCGAGGGGCAGGGGATTAACCGAGACGTGCCCCAGGGACCCAGCCTCCCGCCGACTGTTATTTCCGTGCGGGATGATTTCAGCATTAACGATATTGTTTCTCCCGCCTCCAGAGAGTTCATTATTGCTCCCCTGCAATCCAAGCCCCCTCGCACAAATTACTTATCGATCGGGCAGAGCTGCCTTGCCGTGAGGTGGCTGATGCTGCGGAGGCACTGGAGCTGGCCGAGCCCTGGCACCGCAGCTCCCAGGACAAGTGGGATGTCCCCGGCTGGGCACCTTCCCCCCTCCCCATGCTTCGGGGCTGGCGGAGCGGGAGGCAAAAGCAGGCTGATGCTGAGGCCATGCTGCTGCGGTGCAGAGGCAACAACTACCCAGAGAGGGACGTTTTTTCTCTCTAGCAGGGCAACCTGTGAGGCGGCTATTTGAGGGACGCTTTATCTGGGCCCTACGCAGGCGAGCAGGTTTCCAGCCCCCCCAGCACTGAGAAGAAACAAAGGCAGCCAAAAGGATACCCAGCCAAAATCCTCTGCAGCTTAGCATGCCTTAAACCACCCCCCAGGAAGGTGCTTGGGGAGGAGGTGCTTGGCATTAAGGCTTGGCAAGCCCTGCCGCTGCAGCAGTCTGGCTTTCCAGTGGCCAGGCTCACCCCTGTACATAACATCCAGGCTTCAATTTCAAGTCATCAGCTTAAAAAATTGAGGTGATCGTTAAAAAGCCAATCAAAACACCGAAGTGTTTGCTGGCAGCACCAAGTCATCGTGTTAGAGGCTCAGAAGAAATGCATTGCACCTGTCAGAGAGGCAGAGGCATGTGCATGATTAAACAGGATATTAAAAACAAGCCCCTAGGAGTAAGAAGACATCCTTCAAGAAGTTCAAGTCACGCCCAGACAGGAGAAGTAGAAAATGAGAACAAAACTCTGGCAAGATAAACTTAACACAACAAAGCAAGTCAGGAAAAAAAGAGACTCTGTGTTGCTAAAACCAGGAAAAACGACAAACTGATGTGTTCATCAGGAGCAGGATTCGTGTCAGCGTGACTGCGGGGATAATAAATGACGGGGGAAGAGAAGAGGCTGCATAGCAAAGAAATTAATTTTTCTTGACACCTGCATTCATTGTAGGAAGAGGATCGGGAAGTTTCCCCTTGCCAAGACCTTTCTTTTCCAAGACTGATACTCAGCCTGAAGCATCCCTACAGGTTTGGGGCAGTACCGACCGCGGCCCCGGCACCGCTCAGGAGTGCCCCTATGATCAGCAGTGAAATCAGCTGTCACATGCAATCCCGCGTCCAAACCCACCTCGGAGGAAGCAAAAGCCACACCATTTTTTCTTTACGAAGCTCTGCGTAACTGCCAATAAGGAAATCAGACATCTGCACCTGGCACGTCGCAGTGCCTACCAGAAGCAGCGTGAGGGATGCACGGGCAGGCATGGCACGCTGGGGTGCAGCTGCCGCTTTGCAGAGATAAAGCCACGTCTCACAGAGCTGCCCCAGTTTTCCACAAGAGCGGCAGCCCAACCCGAAAAGCCCGGATGGCTTTTGACAGACCCTCCCAACCTAATGCTCTTGGCAAAACCCTAATCCCCCACAGCAGAAGAGCAAGGGCCTTAAAATATTAATAATGGGTTAAAGGAGAAGCAGCAATATTCGGCTTTCATAAGCAAGACTGCCAGCAGAGTCCAAGGGGGATTTACATGGGGGCTCCGCTGCTCGGCACACACAAAAAAGGCTTCACAACAAAGCAAACCTGAGATGACAAAGTGCACCTGGGAGATTTAGCTGTTCAGGACAGCAAAAACAAGAGCAAAGGATCCAGAGGGACCTCCTGCCGCTGAGCAGCAAGGTAATAAAATAGCAGAGGAAACGGAGCAGTGCTAAATGACGAAGCGAGGCGCACAGGGGAAAAAACAACCCCAGCTTCAGCAGTGGGGTCTGAATTAGCTGCTACCACACCTGTAAGGGACCTGGGTATTAAGAGTCGCAAGAAAACATCAGCTAACTGCTCAGAGCGTTTGTCAAGAAAACGTTAAAAGCAGCCATCACACGTTGGGTATTTGGAGGCAAAGCGGAAAGAACAAGAGAGAAGGTAACAACTCTGCCACCGAATAATCCCCCGGTGCAGCTTGACTGCTGCGTGCAAAGAGGCACTGTGGAGCTGGAGAAGACGCAGAAGAGGCAAGGACAGACGTCTGGCGTCCGGCAGAGAGCTACGGAACGGGCCAGGCAGAGCTGGGGGGAGGTGGAGGAGGCGGGTGGATGCCGGGCAGCGCCCGCACCCAGAGCCCTGCCAGGGCCGGGCAAGCTCCGAGGCGTCGCAGCACCTCGGCGCTGGCGGGGCGGCGAGGCAGGGTCATGGCGAGCGCTGGCCGCAGCCCCCCCCGGGGCACCCCGCTGTCGCGCAAGACCCACCGTTGGCGTCTTCATAGCTGGGCTGGCCGTGCTGCAGGGGGACGGAGGCACCAGCCTCACCGTCCGGGGGGCTTTCACCGCTGTCAAGCTGTCCCACCGGCGGTGGCCATGGCAGGTCTTTAATGACCTTGATTTCAACTGGATTGGGGGGGGGGGTGAGGGGGTGGGGGGGGGAAGGGGGGTAGAGGGGCGGGAGAAGAGAGGGAAAGAGAAAGAGAAAGAGAGAAAGAAAGGGCTTAGAAAAAACCATCAGCAACACCAGGCCCAAGGAGAAGGAGAGCAGTTGTGGGGTGAAAGACCTGAGGCCTAAATTCCCAGGACCCCTACACCAGCTTGGCCACCTCATCCCCTCCCCAGCACACCGAGCAGGAACAGGCCCGGCACGGGGCATGTTCCCGATGGAGAGACCCTGTTCCTCCATCAGCTTTCCCTCTCTGGGGCGGGGGGAGCCTGCCATCACCCCCGCCCCACGTGCACGTCCGTCCAGGGACCCTGGCCCAGCGTCCCATTGCCACCTGTCGTCCCCATGCATCCGCCTTGCCCTGGGCGCTTCCCAGCCACCTCGTGGAGTCCACATCCCCCTGCCAGGCACCAGCAGGTTGCCGCCTCGTGCTGGCATCGGCTGCCCATCAGCGGGGGTCTCACAGGCCCCCCAAGGGGGGAATGGGCCAGCAGAGAGATTCCAGTATTGCAGGAGAACAGAAACGCCCTGCGAGCCACAGCAGGACCTGCTCCAGCTCTGGAAGAAAACGGGCAGCAGATCCTAACGTGGCCCAGGACACGGCAACCTGACCCCCTCGGGACTCAGAGCAAGCCCGAAGCGCCCTGGGGAGCGCCCGCGTGCATCCACACGTGAGCCAGACCTGCGAACACACCACCTCCACCCGGGGACATCGAGCAAGGCGACTCGACCGCCCGGATCTGGAGCACAGACACTTCAACACGAACCCGGCCCAGCAGCATGCCGCATTTCATGACGGAACCCAAGCTGAAGCCTCGGCACAGCATGCCACCGGCACCGGCCCTGCAGCCAGCCGAGTCCCAGCAGCACGAGTGTAACCCCCGGCACGAGTAGACACCGTGGCGTCGAGCCCAGCACACGTATTTTCCAACTCGCAGAGCCCAAACCCAAAAGATGAACCATTCCCAAGCCCGAATCTCCACGCCTCTCTCTGCCAGCATCCCCACGCAGTGCCGACAACCACCAGCTCGAGCGCCTTGCGTCGGCTGCAGCACAGACACACAATGCTGCAATTAAAATGCATCCTATATAAGAGTGTGGCAATTAGCCAGCAGCAGCGGAGGAGCCAGCACTAATGCACAGCATGGATTTCCTCATTAAAAAACACAAACACAATCGATCCCGCAGCACAGATAAATAGGTCAGGGGGCTAGATGATCGCCCGGCCAAAGGAAGGTTTCTGGGGGACTGCCCAGCTCTCCTCCTGCCCCAAGAAAGGAGGGATCTGCTTGAGCCTCCCCCCTGCAATTCCAGGTTGGCGGGGTTAACTTGCACCGGAGGCTGTGATCAGTCAGAGCGGGGAAGAGACAACAAGAGATGGGCACCAGACAGGCTGCCAAGGCAGCTCCATCCAGCCTGTCTCCATGCTGAAGAGAAACAGCCTCTGCGAGTGCAGGAGCATTCCCCGAGCCACAGAAATGCAGAGGCCAACACTACTGACCCCCAAAAGACAAAAGGAACCCCAAGGAGCCAGCTTCCCCCCCTTGCAAAACACAACGCATCGGTTGCTCTATGGCTGCTACCCGTCCTTTATGGCTGCTCCCATCACTCACCTGCAAAGGCTTTGGAGATCCGCTCCTTCTTCCACTCCCAGGGCTGGTCATACTCCTCCGGTGGCCGCTCATCATCCTCGGGCAGCCGGGACTCCCTGGGCCTGGGGCAAGCCAGGCGGTCACTGTCCATGTCCAGCCCTCCAAGCACAGGCTCGTAGGGAGTGTCGTAGAGGGGCAACGGCCGGGCAGGAGCCTCCCGTAAGCCCTTCTGGCGGATCTCTAGAAGGAGAAGAGGGAAAAGACCATGAGCTTTTTGCCCAACACATCCCAGCCACGGTCCCCAAAGGGCTAGATGAAAGGGCTCAATTTTACCCGAGGGCGATGCGGGGTGGGACACACCAGCAATGGAGAGCCCCCTCAAACCTTCAGCAAGCGCCTGCCAGAAGCAGGGGAGCTGCTGGGCAGCCAGGGCCCGAGCAGTCCACAGCACCAAGATGCCTCCTCTCCCCACAGTACAACATCCCCACACCCGTGCAGGTCTGCAAAATGGGGTCCATGGGGCCGGAGCACCCCAGAGCCTGACGCCCTGCAAGCAGCGAGGCCGGGTTGGCCTGGACACCCAGCATGGCCAGTTTAATAAAACGCCCTTCCCTCGAGCAAAGCAAAAGTATCTCCCACAGACACGAGCAGCCTCTTTGCCACTTGCCGTTTTTTCCAAGAAATTCAACGGTGTGGTCCAAAAAGCTGCATGAGCTTTCCAGGAACCACTCACTCCAGGAAAACCATGGAACTGCAAAGCAGAGCCAGAGCCTGGAGAGCACGAGCCACCACGGTGACCCTTGCACGCACCGTGGTGGTCAGAGCGATGCCTTCGGGAGCGTGTGCTCTCGCCTCACCTTCTTTCCAGCCATAAACAAATCCACTGGTGACCCCGCTGCTGTGGCAGCCAACAGCAAGTTCTGGCCCTGTCTTATCTAAATTAAATAGCTCCCGCATCCGTTTTAGTTTTATGCCAGATGCATCGAGTGTCAGGTCTCTCCTGGCTTAGCCCGGCATCAGGCACTGTGGTCCTGGGGGGGACAGCATCGCAGGGAGAAAAACTGAGGTGTCTTTATTGCTCGGGTAGCCTTTGTGAGTGCTCTGGCTATGGCAAGCCCACCACACATGTCTAAAGCTGTGAAAATTTGCCTGCAAAGTGGCTGTGTGCCACCACAGCAATGGCCCATGTTTGCCTTGACTGGGGGACCTGGCGCTGTCCCAGGCTGCAAGGAACAGAGTACAGCGGCCTCCACATTCATACAGCAAGCACCAGAGGTGCAAAGAGAGGCCCTCTGCACGGAGCCTTCCACCTTACCAGCCATCATCTTCTGGGCTTCGTATGGCTCCATGTATCCATCGTTCTCCATCACCTTCTCCAGCCCTGCCTGGCTACCAGCCACCTGCGCCGCATCGAAGGGATCTGCGTAGTCCTCCAGGACAGCCAGCTGGGAGAGGGGAAGGGTAGGAGAAGGGTTAGGGTAGCGTCTGCCTTTTTTTTTTCTGGGGGGGGGGCGCGTGTCAGGGGCTGGTTGAAGCCCCTTGAAACCTCACCACAAGCTCCGCTAGCAGCAGCCAGAGCGGCAGCCGGGCCCCCGAGCCTGCACCACAGCAGCCCTGCAGAGCAGGTGCTGGCAGCCGGCGGCTTTCCAGGCACCGGCGCTCGGCTGTGGAAACGCTCCAGCCTTTGTCCCGAAAGCTGGGACAGAGCCAAGCAGAGCAGAAGGCGGCCCGGCCTCCTCCCTCACCGTCAGCCCAGCACTGCCAGCGCCCACGCAGACGCCCTGGCAAAGCACACCCCCCCCCCACCCCCCCCCCCCCACGGCGGGGGGCTGCCACGGGCGCCGTCCCCCGCCCCACGGCACGCGGATGCTCGCCCTGCACGCAGCCGCATTTCCTCGCCCAAGATGGAGAAGGGGCACGGACCCCAGTACAGGGGCGTCAGCCGACACTGGCACGACTGGGAACTTGCTGGTTATTTTCCAAGGCTCCTGCAGGCTCGTTTGAAGATGGTTCTTAACAAAAGGGCCAAGAACAACCTATGGCTTCCTCTCCACTCCCTCCCAGGCCCCCGCAGCACCCCCACATGCATCCCAAGTAATATAAGACAGGGCTCCTTCACGTTATCAGGAGCCACTGGGAAGCAGGACCGGGAGTCTCTCAAGTGCCTTGTCACAGGGATCACACAAAAAGCCTGAGGTTTGTCCTTCCTAGTGAAAAGGAGACAATCCTGCTGTAGGATATGGGACACGTCCCAGAGCTTGATCCCCTCTCGTGCTGGAGCCGCACGCCTGCTCCGGCACCTCAGCAGCTTCCCAGCCAGAGCTCCCCATCGCATAACGCTGCAGCCCCTGGCAAGCCTGAAGCTGTGCATCCCACCTCCAGCCCCAAAACCTGGTCCCAAAATGGGGCCAGGCAATATTTCCAGCAGGGTCCGAGTGCACCCAAGCACCTTTCTGGGGCCCGCTCGCCCACCAGGCTGAAAACCCCGGGCTGGCCCAGCCGGCGAGATGGGTTTTGCCACCACAATGCCAGCTACGTAGAGCTCCCACAGCAAGGACCAAACGGCCCAAGCACGGTGTGGCAGCTGCCTAAACCCAGACAGGCCCTAATCCCGGTGCCAGGCTCTGCCCTCACCACCACCACGCTCTCCCTACTCCTGGCCAGCCTTGGAGACCAGGGCCACTCACACATTCCTCGCCGGCTCCCATAACTGACTTCCAGCAAAACACTTCTTCCTCCTTCCTGTGCAAAACAGCCGACAATAGCCTCAAGTAGCAAAACCCAGCAGGAAAAGGGAAAAGGAACTGGAGCTGTAAACACCTCTGCCCGGCCCCAAGCCTTCGCATCCCTCTGCTCTGCGGGGGGAATGCAGCCCCCCACGCTCCGGCTCACCGTCTCGTCCATAAGCGTCCCAGCTCCGGGCTCCCTGGCCAGCCGATGCAGTGGGGAGCTGGGGCAGCTCCCCAAGCCTGGCCCCTCCGTGCCAGAGCACGAGAGAGCAGCAGAACAGCATCCCAGGAGCAAACACCACCAGCCACAGGGCTCGCAGCCCCCCCCCCCCGGCAAGCACAAGGCAGGCTTCAAATGTGGGAGCAAACAGACACTCCCGGCTCCTCGGCCAGGCGGCAGCAGGACAGGGGGTACCGGCCTCCACCGGGTAAGAGGGAAACAGCAAAACCTCCCGCTGGCTCTGCAAGCAGGGCCGGGTGCCAGCAAGCTGCGATGGGGCTCCAGGAGCAGCCAGCCCCTGGCTTTGCAGCAGGAGACAAGGAAATCTGCTCTCGTCTCTATCATTCGAGGGAGACGTGGCATCGCTCATGGGGGGGCATCAAGGGGCAACGCTGAGCCCGGCGGGCTGCAGCCCTTTGCTTGCCACCGCTGGGGTAAAACCCCCCCCCCAGGGAAGTCACAGGTGACTTCTGCAGCTGCTTGGTCACTAGGACCCGACCTAACACCCACGGGGCAGGGAAGTGAGTGACAGCAACTGCAAATTCACTGCGGGAAGCCCCCCCTGTCTTCTAAACACACTTTTCCTCTCCAAGGCTGAGAGGGGTTCAGCCTGCAGCAGGCGGGTGCTTCCCACCTGCCGCCTGCCAGATCGCGAGGGCAGATCAGCACCCACCTCTCCAAACAGCCAGGAGACCCCATGGGCTGCACCCACACCTCAGAAAGCTGCACAGAGGCTTTTGCTGGGCCGCAAGGACGCCTGCAGAGCACAGCCCCGTGCCGGTGACAGCTCGTTCACACACACACACTAGTGCCAAGGGAGGCCCGAGCACACCAGGCAGGCATCCCGACCTGCACAAATGCACAGGCTTGACACACCGTGCCCGACGCTCACCCTCTGCAAAGAGCTCTCATGCCTTCAAGCATGCTGCAGGGCTGTGAAACGCAGTTTGCTGACCTTCCTGGGCTCAGAAAGGGGCAGCCTGCTCATTCTTTCCACGTCGAGCCCAACCTGCCTGCATTCAAACCTGCCACGAACCCCATCTCCCAGATTCATTTTGCTAGACAGACACAGACCCAGCTTGCTGCTGGCACCAGTCCTGGACCCTCCTCCTCTCACCCCGTAAACACAGAGCAGCTTCAGACAAGACAGGGCACAGCAGCTCGGCAGCCAAGAGGCTCCTCTGCACACGGTGGTCGCGCTTCCCGACCGGAGGAAAGCCGCCTCCGTATTTCCTCGGTGCTCAAGTCTAGCTTCCCCGGGAGGGACACACAAGCTCCAGAAAGCTCACAGAATAGGCCCAGGTCTAGAAAGCAGAGGACAGTGGAGAATCATCTCTGCCAAGACAGCTAAAACTGGGTATTTTGCTTGCAGGGGAGCACAGAAGCACTCAGCAGCAATTAGGCTCTACGCAGGCAAAGCGTGGTTTGCTGGGCTTAGCTCGGACCCAGAGCATATGGCTCAGCTCAGGGGCTTGAGCCTCCGTGCTCCCTAGGCTTGGTGGGGTTTTGCCACACTGGCTTCCCTCCTCCATTATCTCACGGATCCCTCTTTATAGGAGCGAAGTCTCCCCACCAGAAGGTGCTGAGAACGTAAACCCCTTCGTTTTTCAAATGGTCGGCTACTACAGTGGAGAGCCACAGAAAAGCTGTGAAGGCAAACTCCCAGGTTGTCTCCAGGAGCACTGCAACCTCGGGATGCACAATCAAGCAAGCGAGAACAGTACCCCGAGCCATGGGGCTGGGGGGGCTGGAGGCTCCAGCCAGTGCCGGGAATAGGGCAGAGCTCCTAGAGGGCAAAGGCAGGGATCACGCATTTCCTGATTGCATTCTAATGCCCTGGCACGTGGGGCTGAATTAAGGTTGCCCGGGAAACTGCATCTCTGACATTTCCTAATCTGAGCTCTGGACTTCCCAAGCTGCGTGGGGCTCTCTGCCGCAGCCGGGGCGCACGCAGCCACCCCCCCCACCCCCCCGGCACGGGAGCGGGCAACGGCTGCTGGCAGGGCAGCTCCCAGGGGTGCCCCCCCACAACCCCCCCAGTTCAGTCAAAGGCCAGGCATTTCCATGCTCCGCTCACCTCCCATCTCGCAGAGGGAGCTGCTCACCACCAAGCTGATCCCAGCACGCCGCTCAGATGCCCGGGTCCCGAGGCACTGCTTGCTCACACACAGCACCGGCTTTGCAAGATCTGAAATAATTCAGGTGCAAAGCAAAAGCCTGACACACAAAGCCACCATCCCAGGGCAGCTTTGGGCGCAGACCAGTCCTTCAGAGAGCAGCCAGGCACCGCTGGCACATGGACACATGTCCTCTTTGTGCATGTGAGTGTTTTTCACGGGTTTATCTGCACACCCAGATCCCTCCCGCAGTACTGAGGCTGGTCTCGCTCTATTATTTATGCCAACTGTAAGAAAAAAAGAAAATCAAAAGAGAATTAAGGCAAAGGATCAGATCGCCACTGGCTTCTCACAGTGAAACAGCTTTCACGCTGCCCACCAGCAACGGTGTCAGGCGGCAGCTCTCCAAGGGTGTTCACAGTTCAGACACCAAGATTCAAGGACAGAGCTGGGGCTCTACAGCCCATCTTGCCTACAAACGTCCTGCCTGCCACCATCTTTTGCTGCAGTAAGATGCTCCACTCTATAGAGAGGTCCTCAGAGGACACCTGGGGAGGTCCTTCACTTTATAAACAAGTTTCTTGCCCTGGAGATAAAGCGTGTTTGCAGTCCCCCCCAGGAGATTGCTGGGTTTAACGCTGGAGCCTCTCTGAGTTATAATCAAACTCAGCTCTTTCTGTCAGGTGCAAAATTTCCCTAGCTTTACGCATCTTGCAGCTTGGCTGCCAAAGCCAAACCCAAAATCAAACCTAGTGCTGGCCTTCCAAGAAGGGTCCAGCCCGCGGGGTACGGCTGGGCCAGGTGGGGAGCCCACGGCTGCACCCGTGGCACGGGAGGAGGGAGCGCGGGGCGGGCAGCATGGCATCGCGCAGGATGACTCAGTTCGGGGAGGCTCTCACAGGAAAGACACACGCCCAGGAGCTTCCTGGCCGGCCGTTCCCACACCCCGCAGCACTGAGCCTCCACTCCCAGCAAAAATGCCAGTGAGCGGTCCCAGCAGGCACGGGACAGACCCCCCCAACCCCGTCCCCAAGCATGCTGCGCCCTGGGAGCAGGCGTTCCTGTGCAGGGAGGTCCCTCACCGCATCCCTCCCCGCTGCAGGCTGGTGGCATTGCTCCTCGTGCCTAATCCAAACACGGCAGAGAAGACATCTCCAGGGTATCCACCTCACTCCGGCAAGCCATACGAGGCCACCGCTGTAAGGAAAGGACTGCCCAGACCAAGCAGATGGACGAGAGTCCTGTGCTGGCCCCCACCATGTCCAGCAAGGGTTTGTAATGGAGCAGGAGCCACTGCAGAGCTCACTCTAAATGCATCCCCACAAGATGTTGCAGATCCCCTGCAAGACAGAAAGATGTGATGACACGTGCTGCGATGGCAAAATATCGCATGGCCCAGGCAGGAAGGATGCCACTGCCGAGACGTTCCTGCCCCGTCTTCAATTCTCCAGAACGGGCAGGGCAGCTACAGCCGGGCACAGCGCGCCCCGGGAACATGATCGGTCCCCCCCGACCTCAAAACACAGAGCCTGGGCCAAACCGCACAGCCAGGAACTGGTGGCTGCTCCTTCCACTTCCGTCCCTCCTCATCCTCCCTGCTCGGAAGGGCTACACATTTTATTATGGTATTTTTCCACTGTCAAGCATTAGCAAAAAAACCCTCTGCTCCAGCAGGCTTGCCTGTACCTAGAATCGTACTTCTCCCTTCACCTTCAGCATCAGCACAACTCAAGGGCCATGCCCACGGGCTTTCTGGAGTCCTAGTCCCCAGCTGCAGGGTAGGGAACAGTGCTCACCGCCTCTTCCTAAGCATGGGAGCACGGAGCCCCCTGCTACAACCGGCGTCTCGGCTTGAAGAGCCCAGCAGAGGCTCCAGCTTGGTCCAGGCATGCCTCCCCTGCTCTGGGACACCTTGACGTTGTCACCGAGAGCAAGGGCCGCAAGCACCAGCGACCCCCCCCAGCAGGCACCTCCGTCCTCCAGAAAGAACCACCGTGACCTCGCAGCAACTGGGGAAGCCTCCCACCACTCAGCCCCACGTCAAGGCCAGCAGATGGGAGCTGCAAAGGGCGCTCAAGCCCACAAGATGTGCTGGAGGCTGCCTGGCTCCTCTAGGGAACCTGATTTAACGGACGGTTGCACGCACTATCAAATACTCCCACTTTATCTTCACCTTCACCCAGTCTCTGGAGCTCTTCCCATGTCCATCACGTACCAGAGCCCTGAAGAATTAGAAACCTGCTCCCCACAGAGGCATGCAGGGGATCAGGAGATAACCCAGTCACCGTCTATCCTCGATAAGATGAAGGGCCTTCTCCGGCCTAGTGCTGCTAGCAGGGTTTCCCCAGATGTATCCCAGCTTTTGGCTTCTCGCTAAACTTCCCAGCTTCTCCCCAGCCCTCCAACGCCCGCACAGCCCTGGCTGTACCTGCTGGTAGTCCCCCACTGCCCGCAGCTCCTGCTCAGCCCTTTGCACATCACAGCCCGAGTGTCCTTCCTACGCCCACCACCGGCTCGTGGTCCCTCTGATCCCACACCACACGTTCCAGAGGAAAAACCATCCCGCCTGCCTCAGTAAACCCCATCACCAGAGTGACACCTCCAGTCCCTGCTGCCAGTGCCCTCCTCTTTCTCCTCCTCCTCCTCCGCTGCCCGCAGTGGCCAGTTTACAGGATCCCGGATCAAAAGAGGGTTTCTGCTGGGCCCCTCTGGAGACTTCCCGAAAGAGATTAGTCAGTAGGAGCCGCTTCCCAAGATCCGCCAGCGACAAGTTTTTTCTCTCCGCTTAAAATACTCCCAAGCAGATTTCGCCGGGCGCTTGTGTTGTCGCGCTGCCCAGGGACGCCGGACGGGATCATTACATCCACCCCTTCCCTCCACCAGCCAGATCCGCAATCCTGGCCGAGTTCGCTCGACAAGCCCCGTCTTGCAGGCAGCCGCGCCGGCGGGCGCTAATTACCCCTCCTGCCTTTCTTCGCACCGTCCCGTCCCCCCCCCATCACCCTCCCCGCCGAGAGGCCCGGCACCGACGGCCGCAGCCCCGGTGGGTTTATTCCTCTTAACTCGTGCCGCTCGCTCCCCGGGGGGAGTTTCTCCCCGGGGCCGTTTCTCGCCCCCTTCCCCGCACCAGCGGCTGCGGGCTCCGCTCTCAGCCCCTCAGGAGCCGGCTGGGAGACAGCAGACAAAGAGGCGCTGAGGCTCCCTGACAAAGCATCCACCCCCCCCCCGCCCCCCCCGGCACGGGCAGGCGCCAGCAAGCGGGGCAGGGGGAGATCGGCACCGCCGGGCACGGGAGGGGAAGGAAGCCCGGGGCCACCGGAGCCGGTCCTGGGCCGCGCCAGGCCTTCCCAGGCTGGAAGGGCTTCGGTTCTGCCGAGCACCACGCACTTGGCTGCGAAGAAGCGGAGGGGGCGGGGGGGGGGGAAGGGAAAGAAGGTGGCCGGCGTGCTCTCGCAGCTCGGCGAGCGGCGCTTCCCACCGGGGACCGTACCTGCCTCCCGCGGGAGCCGGCGGAGAAGCCGGGGCCGCCCCCGCCGCGCCGCGGGTGCTGACGTGGGGCCGGCCTGGCGGGGCGCGGGACGACACGCACACGTAAAGCGGGACCCCCCACGCGGAGCTCGGCCGCGGCTCCACCGCCCTGCCCCTCGCAGCGGGCACCGAGGGGTCCGGTGGGGCGAGCACACACCCCCCCACACGCCCCCACCCCACCCCGGCCGTGGGGCGCGGCGGGGTGCCCACGCCGCCGGGACACTCACCTCCTGCGGCGGCTCGTCGGGAGGCTCGGGGCCGGCGGGGGGCGAGCTGGGGGCGGCGGGTGCCAGCAGCGGCGGCGGCGGGGGGGGGCTGGCGGGCACCTTCTCCGCCGCCTCCACCTTGATGAGCCGGTGCTTGGGCGAGACGTAGCGGGGCCCGTCGGGGGCGGCGGGCGGCGGCGCCCCGCTGTAGGGGTCCTCGAAGTCGCGCTCCTTCTGCAGCCGGTAGGCCGCCACGATGTCGGGCTGGGCGGCGGCCAGCGGCTCGCCCGCGCCCCCGGGCGGCGGGGGCGGCTGCGGCGGCGGCCCGGCGCGGTAGTCGGGCTTGGGCGGCGCGGGGGGAGCGGGCTTGGCGCTGCGGAAGCCCAGGTGCTCGCGGAGCCAGCGGGCCATGGTGCCCACGCACTGCGGGGCCCCGCCGGCCCCCGCCCCGCCGCCGCCGCCGCCGCCGCCGCGCTCCGAGCCGGCCGCCGCTCCGCTCAGCAGCATCGGCGCTGGCGGACTGAGCGCGGCGGCGGCGCCCGGGCCGGGGGGGGGGCGGGGGAGGCGGCCGGGGGAGGCGGCCAGTGCCACCTGCCGGAACCGCCGCGCCGAGCGGGGGCTTCCCCCCCACCCCCCCCACGCCCCGCTCCCCCTGGCACGGCGCGGCACGGCGCGGCACGGCCTCCCCGCCGCTCGGCTCGGCCCGGCCCGGCCCGGCCCGGCCCGGCCCGCCTCCCCCGGGGCACGCCCCGCTCCCCCGCCGCCCGGCCCGCCTTCCGCCGCGCCCGGCCCGGCCTTCCGCGGCGCTCCCGTCTCTCCGCTTCTTCCCGGTGGCCCCGGGGGAGAATCGCCCCCCCCGCCCCGCCGCGCCCGCTGCCCCGTCCCTCCTGCTGTGGGGCCCGGAGCCGGCCCCGGCTGGGTGACGCCCGGGGGAGCGGTGGAGAGGTGCCCGCGGTGGCACCGGCAGAGGCTGCTCCCGAAATAGGAGCAACAAAGGGCCCCCTTGGTGGCAAATCCACCGCCTAGGAGGTGGTGGTGCCACCGGGCAGTTGCACGCAGGACCCCGGGCACAGATTGCTGCGGGGAAGGTTGCTGAAACAACCAAGCTGGCACCGTGGACCCCCCCCCACAGGAAACACTGCGGGACAGGGGTGTCCTGCCGCCCACCCAAGCCAGGGAAGGTGCTCGGGGAAGAAGGCTGAGCGGAGGCCAAGGCCGTTGCAGTGGCAGACGGCATGCTGACACACGTTCTGACGGTTACCCCTGCGCACACCCCCCTCGCCAGCCGCCACCCCCCCCCCCCGCTCACCCGCCACCCAGGACCGACTGCTTCCCCATGCCCTCCTCACTGCCGGGAGCCCCTCTGCGCAGCCCTGTCTCCCAGACCCACTCCCCAAAATTCTCCACACCCCTTCCTAAGCTCACACCGTTCACCCAAACCTGCTCCTGGGCCCTGCTCGCAAGCTGAATTCCCCGAAGGCCGTGGTCAACCGTGCCCGAAAGGGAAGGGGTCCAGAGGCAGGATGCTCTGAGAGTGGGAGCAGAGCTGGGATGGGGCTGCTGAGAAGCCAGGCTGGCATGGTACATGCCTAACGTGTGCCCCGTGAGCCCACCGAGCCCCAGATGCGCCGATTTATTGGGTGCACGCACACTGCACGCTCCTGCCCAAGAAACCCAGACGGGTCCCCCGGGTCCCACTGGAGCTTCCTCCCTAGAAGAGGAAGACAGCCACAGCACCCAGAAACCAAGACTGGAAATTTCGGAGCGTAGGGAATGCAAGACACAGAAGCCATCAGGAGGAGAAAAAGTGTCTGCCAGGAACAGAGCGAATACGAAGCAGCGTTTGAGGTCTAGCAGAAGACCTCAATCCCGGCAGATGGGGATGATTAAATTGTTATTAAAATGCAGAAAAGACACGGTTTCTCAATAAATCTCTCTGTCCAGCATTTGAGAGGAGGCAGGATGCAGGACTGATGGCACATGAGATTGAGAATACTTCTACCCTCTGTCAGTAACCAAGGAGGATGTTCAGCAACATCTGTTGGAGGTGCCTCTTGTTAAATCCTTGGGCCTGGAAAACACACACTCAGTGTCTGCTGCGAGGTGACCGAGGAGGGAGCTAGCTTGTGGTGGTGTTTTTTTTTTTTAAAAAATTGCAGAAGCCCTTCCTTCCCATCCCATCCTGTCACACCCCTCCCGTGGCTCCCTCCCTGGAGAGGCAGCTGCACTGGATCGAAGAGGCTCCATGGTCTGAGCTACCTAGGATCCTAGCATCTCCTCACCATTTGCTGCGCCTGTTTCTCTTCCAAATTCCCCCGTGGCCTTTTGGCAGGTGGGCACCTGGCCCAACATAGCCCTGTTCTCTGGTCTGTGCCCCATGGTGCAACCCCCCCTTCTCACCTGAGGCTTTGGCAGAGCCTGGAGGGGCATCGAGAAAAAGGTCCCTGGACCCACCCGAGCCCTCAGATTTGAGCTTCCCCTGGATCTTGGCTTCCCCTTGGCCAAACCACCCAGACAGCAACATGGGGCAACAGGGTGAGAAGAACATAGCTGGGGTGGGAGCCCCCCCCCTCGGGAGGCTTCGTTGTACTTCGGGAGCTTTGAAGCAGAAGTCCAGAAGGAGACCAAATGAGCTCCTTACGCTCTGCGTGGCTCAGCGCAGGCACAGGCTGCTCATATTTTTTTTTCTGCAGTCGTGATGAAACGCTAGCGACATCCCTCCATTCGCAGCAGCTCGTTTCAGGTTTGAAGAAGCAGCGACAGATTTCTGCATTCGCACCGCCAAAGCCGAGCTCCATCTGCGTCTCACGCTGCAGCTGGTGTTGCTCCAATCCCTGACTGTTTACATCCCCTCCTTTCTGATGCACGTTGGGACCCAGGTTTGATGCCTGCGCCATAGAGACCGGCCCCGATACCACATCAATGGGCGCAATGCCGGCCCGCCGGATCGCCGTGACAGATGGCCGTCACGTAGCACCGCTCATGTCGGGATTTGGGGGGGGGGGGGGGACGACACACACACGTGGGGCAGGACTGGCAGACGGGAGAGGATCGGGGAGAGCACGCTACGCCACTTGCATGCCAGACTCCACATTCCGGCTGCGCTCTCCTGCAGCCGCGGCGGGCAGCCCACACCCCACACCCCCCACCCCGGAGGGATGCGCAGCCCCGGGGGGGCTGCCCACTGCTCACAGCAGCCCACACAGCCCCCCCAGGGAGGAGGGAAGGAGTTGCTGCACCCGCAGGCCTCAGTCAGGAGAGGAACAACCCATGGCCGCACGGAAGCGATTTGTGGCTCGCTCTTACGGACCACGGGAACAGGGGAGATGGGAGGCCCTTCTGCCAGGGCCTGCAAGGACCCGGGGCTGCAGCTCTGCACCAGGAGCCCCGCTCCCACCCTTCTCTGGAGGGTCCAAGAGCTCTTCTCTGTCATCTCTGGGCATGGCCCTTCCTCTCACCCAAGGCAGGAATAGCTGCTCTCCTGCGTAAACACTTCCAGGCAGGTCGGAGCACGCACCAGGAAGAAAAAGGCAGGCAACGTCTTCCGGGCTCCTGCCAGCCCTGCGGGGAGCTGTGTGCGTCCTCAGCCCTCATCCATCCTCCCGGGCGTGAGGAGCTGCTTCAGCTACCCTCAACGCTCCCAGTGCTCACCCGCAGCTGGGGACAGGAACCCTGTTTGTCAGCCGGGCCAAGAGCGGGACACGGGACCTTCCCTGGGTGCAGGAGGGCTCAGGCCGCATCGCCCCGGTAAACCTCCCCCTCCAGTTTAACCCTGGGTGTTGTGGGTGCAGCCCGGCGTCCCCCAGGCAGCAGCTTCTGGTGACTCAGAGGAGAAAGTCTCCGCTCCTGCATGCTCTCGAGGAGGTGCTGGAGGATGATTCACCCACAGGTGATGTAGGGGGCTGAATTTAGCCAACTGAGCCAGGCACCGGGTTGGCTGCTACCCCTGACGCCAGCATTTCCCCTGGGCCTGCAGCCCCCTTGAATCTCCAGGTACTTCTTCTGCAGCTTCAAATAAAAGCCATCCTCGGGAGCTTAGAAATGTCTGTGGTGACTCCAGCCTCTCTTCCCTCCCTGGGAGCACCCTACGTAAGCCCTGTTGTGCAGCGCAGCAGGGAGCGGGAGGATATCACATCTGCTGGGTGACACCCCAGCCTCCCCTGAGGTCTGGGTACAGCAGGGGATGAGAGGACTGGAAGGTGGCAACTGTGCGACACCAAAAAAACTTCCCAGGAGGCAGCCAGGGAGCCCCAGGCTGATAAATTGCACATCTGTTCTCTGCAAATGAACAAAAATTGGCATAAGGAGTAGGAAACTGGCATCGTTAGGGAGACAGATGGATAAATATGACATATTGGGAAAGAGGCGACACAGCTCTCTTAAAGTGAATTTCTTTTTTCCAGAGCTAGTGGCTTTCTTGGAAAGAGCCAGCAGGGTGATCCAGCTGAGAGAGGTCACCTGCATTTCCACACGCAGATCCTTTGACGAGATGAGGTCGGTAGAGAAGTGACAAAATCTGCTAATAATATTAAATTATTCTGGATACTGCGAATTAATGCTAAGAATTGCAGGAGGACTTTCAGAAGCTGAGGAACTTGGCAATAAAATGAGACAAAAGCCAGTGTCAGGGAAGTGACACACATGGGGAAGCCAAGCCCGGCCTCATGTCTGAAGTGATGGGCTCTGAGACTGTGAGTTCTGACAGGCCATCAAAACATCCCCTCAGCACTCAGCAGAGGTCAAAACTGCAAAACTTCCCCATCAGAAATGATAGGAAGGGTCAGGAAAAGGTGGAGGCGACATCAGAGATGCCACTGTTCCCCGGTCAGTCCCAGCCTGTGTGCGGTCCCCGTCTGCCCATCCCCGAGGATACAGCCGAGCTGGAAGGTGCACAGGGAAGGGTGGCAGAATGACCAAAGGTTTCTGCACGTGGGGTGTGTGATGGACCAGGGCTCTTTGGAATGGAAAAGAGGCAACTGGGGTCACAGGGCAGAGGATGGCACAGCTGGGGGAGGGTGGGGAGAGACTGGTAAGATTGGGGATGAACACAAGGAGGTGACTCAGTGCACAGCAGCCCGCCCTGCCACGGGCCGCTGCAGATGCTACGTGGTTCAGGAACAAGACCGGACAAATCCACAGAAGTCCATCAAGCATCGCTAAATACAAAGGCTGGCACAGGGAGCCTTGCAAATATTCAGCGTCAGGGGTGGTGTCCAGGTGAAATGTTGCTACGCATTTGCACCAGGAGACCAGGAGACTGGGTAGTGCGTGAGATGAGCCGCTCTCACCACAGCGGCTGCCCACGTGCAGGGGGATACTGCTCCCAGATACACCACGCAGGCGGCATGGTTTCATTCAGCAAGCCGTTCCCAGGCTGGAAGCATCTCTCTTCCAGCAGCCCCTCATCCACACACCAAGCACAGCCCCCACCGGGTGCTCCGTAGATCTTAAGAGCCTGCGAGGTTCTTCGTTCAGCCCTTCCAGATAACCCCAGCTCCCATCAGGCTGGAAGGCAACGGCACGGAGCAGCCATGCCCACCCATCTCAGCTCGCTGCCGGGTGCCCTGGGGAAGGCAGGGAGCAGGCTGGTGTGGGAGGGAAGCTCTGCACGGGATGCTCCGCAGCCTCCTCTCACCCCAGCCTGCCGCAGTGAGCTGCACAGAGATGGCG